CGATTCTTGTGCCTCAGCCACCTGAGTAGCTGGGATTACAGGCATGTGCCACCATGCCCAAGTAATTTTTGTATTTTTAGTAGAGATGCGGTTTCTCCATGTTGGCCAGGCTGGTCTCGAATTCCTGACCTCAGGTGATCTGCCTGCCTTGGCTTCCCAAAGTGCTGGGATTCCAGGCATGAGCTACCGCGCCCAGCCCATTGTGGAGTTATTTCAACAGATGAGATGTTCAAAATGTTCCATGAGGAAAAGCACATCGTCATGTTTTTTAATCCCCATGAGTGAGTGAGGGTTCCTCTTAGAGGGGTGGCGGGCTAAGTGGCACATCGCGTGTGGGATCCTCTAGCCTGTGTCCTGGCAGGCCCAGAGAGACTCCAGTTCTGTGTCTCGGTCCCAGGCCAGTTCAGCAGTGCGCCTGTTCCCAGCCTGGTGTCAGAGCTCAGCCACTGTGGTCCCTGTGTGTGGGTCATGCAATGGGTACATTAGAGGGAGTGGAGCCCAGCAGGGAAGCTGTGTTCTGGGGACAGAGGTTCCAGGCACCCGTGCTGACTTGCTTTGTGGCCTTGGGCAGCTCGGTTGCTCTCAAGTTCTACAGCGATAGCTTCTCCCCCAGCCTCTGTCACAGAGATGATGTGGAGACAAACAAGGGCGCCGGTGCAAAAGTACCTGGTGAAAATGACAGAAATTGCCCCTCATAGACACGAGATCTTGTTCCCAGCAGTGGAGAAGGCAGGTCCCGACATCGAGAGTCCCTTCTGTGTGCCAGGCACGGTGTAGAAACTTACCCATAGGATCTGCTTCAATTCTCACAATCGCTTAGGCATGAGGTTTCCAAGTTAGGAAACTGAGCCTCAGAGAGGGGAAGTAACTTAACTCCAAACCCTGGGCCCCAAATCCCAGTCTTTTTACATCACACTGCCTTGTCTCTAACAGAAACGATTGGAGCTTCTTCTCATTATGAACAAAATGCATGCAAAGTCAGAAAACTTAGGAAGCGTGGAAAAGCACAAGACAGTTTAAAATGAACATCGTTCCATGACCCGGAGATAACGTCAGTTCGCATCATTTTGTGATCCTTCCTTTATTTATTCTATGCACTAAGAGCTTCATAAAAATAAAAACGGGTTCTTACTGCATACATCATTTTGCACACGTGGTACTCATCAAAGGAAGGTCCACAGGCAGCATCATCAGCATCACCTGGGAGCTTGTTAGAAATGCAGGCGTCTTGGGCTGAAGCCCAGGCTTACTGAAGCGGAATCCATGCTGAGCAAGCTCTTCAAATGACGGGGATACGTCCTCACTTTTATTTTATTTATTTTTAATTTTTTTACTCCAGGGATACAAGTGCAGGTTTTTTGCATGGATGTATTTTATAATATAATGGTGAGGTTTGGGCTTCTAGTGTACCCACCACCCAAATAGTCAATGTTGTACCAAATAAATAATTTTTCCACCCTCCCCCTTTTGGAGTTCCCATTGTCTAATGCTTCCATCTTTATGTCCATGTGTACCCCTTGTTTAGTTCACACTTATAAGTGAGAACATGTGATCTTTTGTTTGTTTTTTTTTTTTTTTTTTTTTTTTTTTTTTTTTTTTTTGAGACAGAGTCTCACTCTGTCACCCAGACTGGAGTGCAGTGGTGCAATCTTGGCTCATTGCAACCTCTGCCTCCAGGGTTCAAGCAATTCTCTTGCCTCAGCCTCCCTAGTAGCTGGGATTACAGGCATGTGCCACCCCACCAAGCTAATTATTGTATTTTTAGTAGAGATGGTGTTGGCCAGGCTGGTCTTGAACTCCTGACCTCAAGTGATCCGCCCACCTCAGCCTCCCAAAGTGCTGGGATTACAGGCATGAGCCACTGCATCTGGCCTGGTATTTGATTTTCTGATTCTGAGTTATTTCACTTAGGATCATGCCCCCAGCTCCATCTGTGTTGCTGGAAAGGACATGATTTCCTTCCTTTTTTACGGCTGTGTAGTATTCCATGGTGTACATGCCCCCAGCTCCATCTGTGTTGCTGGAAAGGACATGATTTCCTTCCTTTTTTACGGCTGTGTAGTATTCCATGGTGTACATGCCCCCAGCTCCATCTGTGTTGCTGGAAAGGACATGATTTCCTTCCTTTTTTACGGCTGTGTAGTATTCCATGGTGTACATGCCCCCAGCTCCATCTGTGTTGCTGGAAAGGACATGATTTCCTTCCTTTTTTACGGCTGTGTAGTATTCCATGGTGTACATGCCCCCAGCTCCATCTGTGTTGCTGGAAAGGACATGATTCCTTCCTTTTTTACGGCTGTGTAGTATTCCATGGTGTACATGCCCCCAGCTCCATCTGTGTTGCTGGAAAGGACATGATTTCCTTCCTTTTTTACGGCTGTGTAGTATTCCATGGTGTACATGCCCCCAGCTCCATCTGTGTTGCTGGAAAGGACATGATTTCCTTCCTTTTTTACGGCTGTGTAGTATTCCATGGTGTACATGCCCCCAGCTCCATCTGTGTTGCTGGAAAGGACATGATTTCCTTCCTTTTTTACGGCTGTGTAGTATTCCATGGTGTACATGCCCCCAGCTCCATCTGTGTTGCTGGAAAGGACATGATTTCCTTCCTTTTTTACGGCTGTGTAGTATTCCATGGTGTACATGCCTGCAGCTCCATCTGTGTTGCTGGAAAGGACATGATTTCATTCCTTTTTTATGGCTGTGTAGTATTCCATGGTGTACATGCCTGCAGCTCCATCTGTGTTGCTTGAAAGGACATGATTTCCTTCCTTTTTTACGACTGTGTAGTATTCCATGGTGTACACGCACCACCTTTTCTTTATTCAGTCATTTGTTGATGGACACTCAGGTTGATTCCCTGACTTTGCTATTGGATACTCTTAGGAGTCTGTCAGAGCTGATTTTGCCCCCATTGCAATGTGTGGTGGTATCGTCCCATGTCACTGAATATTTTCATATTTCATGAATAAATCATGATTTCTAGTGACTGGATAACATCCCTCCTATGACTGTGACCTGCTGCTGTGTCTGGCCTCCTGCCTATGTCTCCTACTGGTGGGCCTTTAGGATGTTTCCAGGACACTGTTAGAAGAATGCAGGGTTATCTCCTTAGGACAAATTCCCCAGAAGTGAAATTACTAGAGCAGCAGGTTTTGATACATGCTGTCAGATTCCAGCCCAGAAAGGATATAGCTTGCTTGGTCACTCAGACTCTTGGCCAGGGTTTCTTGGGAGGCAGCTGCCATCATGGGGAAGAGCTCACACGTGCGGGGCACAGGCCTTGATTTCAGGGTCGGATTCCACTGACTGCCTCAGTCATCTGGGACTGGTTGCTTAGCTGCTCAGACCCTCTATTTCCTCACCTGCGAAAAAAAGCGACGGACCATTTAACTCATAGCTGGTTGTGGGCCTTAAATGAGACCTGAGATGTGCTTAATAAATGTTCATTTCCTTCCCTCTGAATGAAATGAGCCTAGGGCCTGAGGAGGGCCTATCACAAAGTCCTTAGATGTCCTTGCATAAGGTATTTTCTGTTGCGGTTTATAAATTCCATTTTAATAGATGCACATGGGTGTCACTGACCTTTTCATTTGGTTCTCTGGTGTCTCAGGGAACGTATGGCTTGGGCATAGCAAAGAAGGGCAAAGAAAGAAAACTCCTGACATTTTCTGCTCCTGAAATTTGAGCGGAGAGGTAACGTGCGCACCGTGCTGTGGAGAGCACGCTGGGAGGCGGTGGAGGGGCAGTGAGAGGAGGTGTCAAGGCCTGCAGGTGTGTGGCTACCCCTGCTCTTCAGCAAATCTCTCGGTCCCTGGGCATTCACACGATGTGGCAGCGCCTCCCTTTGGGGGCTTTGTCTCAGTGTGGAGTGGTGTCTTGTTGGGGCATTGGGCCACTCTGTGCTGGGCATGACCTGCATGCTGGGCTTCCATGGGGACAGAGTACTGAAGAGGCTCCTGAGGGGGCCTGCTGCTGACAGAGGGCAGGTCACATGCCCAGAGCAGGTGAAAGCTAGTGGCAGAGGCAAGCTGCAAGCTCAATCCGGCTCACTGAACGGGGTGGAATTGCCACCGTGGGCCTTGTGGGGTGTGGCCAGCTCGTGCTGCTGGGCAGAGAGTGCTGCTGGCTGGGACAGTCCTTAGAGACTTCAAGGGCCCAGTCCCTGTCCCTTTAGTAATCCACTCTGCTGCAGGGGCCCCTGCACCACCTCCCAGGACACAGGGGACTCTCCACCAGCTAATTGGTCCTCTCCCTGGGAGAAGGCCAAGGTGTTAGCAGGAGCACAGTGGGCTGCAGACTCTAATTGCACAAAGGGCAAATGTATGTAAACTACCTTCAGCGCGCTGCGTGATTATCATCTGACCTCTCCTCTGAACTCACTGCTTTCTTCTGTCATCATCAAATGTGTTTGTTGTGCTTTATTATTTAAACTGTAGGCCATTTGAGTAGAATTCTATATACAGTTGCCATTTGGAAAACAGAAAAGCAAACTAGGACTTCTTCAGAACCATCTTCAGAAGTCGCCCTTGCTGCTGCCTGTTCCTGGGTTTTAGCAACATAGAATCACACCTGCCACCCTGAGCCCTCCGTCAACACTCCAGATATTGCCTGGAAACTGCTGACTGTACCGGCCGCAGTTGGCAGCCATCAGACTTGGGAGGAGCTTGAGTCAGGTGGCATTGTGGTGCCGGTTGCAGGAGCCTATTATTTTGAAGTGGCAGCTGCAGGTAATCAGAGAGGAGCCACCGGGGCAAGTGGCTTTGTCACGTGGGGTGGCTGGGGAGCCGGCTGGGCAGGTTCAGTGGGTGATTTCTTCTGGGAAGGCGTGGCCCCTGCCCCTGCCAGGTGTGGGCTCCAGGGGGAAGGCTGGAAATCCCATCAGTGGGACAATGAGTGGGGCAAGCAGAATCCCTGGTAAAGGAGCACTGGGACAGCCCCAGGAAAGCAGTTAATAAAGCATATCAAGGACCTGAGGTAACACGATGAGCCTTTAAGGAAAAGTGAAAAGAAAACTGAAACCGAGGAGCAAGTGTGCGGGGCAGGGACGCGCGTGCCTCCCACAGGGTCCCTCGCACCGAGATAGCAAGTGGACGTCAAGGCGAGGCAGGAGGGGCCGTGTGGCTTTGGTCCTGGAATGAGAGAGGAGAGCCCTGGGCCTGGGTGTGTCTGGCTCAGAAGCTGTTTCCGATTTTCTCAGCATTCTTCTTTCTTCCTGAGCCCTGCCCTTCCTCAGATGGGGAATGCAGCCTCACCTGCCATTGCCCTTTGCCTGCTACCATGGTGAGCACGATCAACAAAGCCCAAGCAACTCAGCGGGGATGCCAATCACAGGGAGGCAAGTCCAGCTCCCTACAGAGCCAGGCCACCCCCATCCCGGCCTTCAGGGCTTGGAGTGGAAGGCGGAAGTGCATGCGTTTCTTAGACGGCCTTTTCTGTTGTGTGCTTGTGCACCCGCCCAAGGAGCTCACGGGGCACAGGAGGGCTGGGCTTGGCAGAAGCCCCACTTCCTCCTGGCCCGTGGGTGCTTCTGTGAGAGATGGGGACAAGGGCTCTTGATCAGCAACCAGTGGTGACCCGTGGGCCCTAGACCACTCACAGGACAGGGAGGCCCACTCTTCTCCCTGCTGCTAGCTTCCAGGAGGATGAGAGAGCTGGAGACTCACAGCACACTCAGGAGGATGGCTGCCTTTTACCAGTGCATCAGGCCTGACCCCAGGTGGGCCCTCTGAGAGCAAAGAGGTGGTGGGGGAGAGACGCGAGGGAGGGGAGGCCAGGCCGTGACCACCAGGGCATGGGAGACCACCAGCCCCTGAGGCCTATGGATAAACCTGCAGCGTCTGTTACCTTATGTTCTAGAATGTTTATGACTTCCTTCCTTACATACTTTTTATCTCCTTGAGTTGTATAAATTCTGGAGCAAAATAAGGATTTTCCTTGTTTCCTTTATGACACACACACATATTCATAAAGAGAAAGGGAGAGGGAAAGGGAAAGGGAAGGAGGGCTGGCTGAGCAGAGTGTGCCATTCTTACCATACCACGCTTACAGTTGGGATCTCCATGGCATAGTTGATATGCTTTGAGTGGAGGGAAGGCAGCAGAGGTCAAAGTTTACAGGTATTGTAATTATGCCACTACCTACAGCCCAGCACCAAAGGACTTGTGCTCAACGGATAGCCACAGCCTTGGGAGATGCTCTGCCTAAGCTCCTGCACAGCCAAAGCCGGAGCCCTGCGCAGAGATCCTGTCCTGCTGTAGGTGACCCTATCCCTGGAAGGTGTTTGGCTCTCAGTGCATTTAAAAATTTTTTTTTATTTTTTATTTTTTTTATTTTTTTTGAGACGGAGTCTCGCTCTGTTGCCCAGGCTGGAGTGCAGTGGTGCCATCTCCACTCACTGAAAGCTCCGCCGCCTCCCGGGTTCACGCCATTCTCCTGCCTCAGCCTCCCGAGAAGCTGGGACTACAGACGCCCGCCACCTCGCCCGGCTAATTTTTTTTTTTTTTTTGTATTTTTTAGTAGAGACGGGGTTTCACCGTGTTAGCCAGGATGGTCTCGATCTCCTGACCTTGTGATCTGCCCACCTCGGCCTCCCAAAGTGCTGGGATTACAGGCGTGAGCCCCCGCGCCCGGCCTCTCAGTGCGTTTTGACTCTGTGCACAGTGGTGCAGAGGGAAGTAGAGCTATGGCTTGATTAAAATTCATTTGCTTCGCATAAATAACCAGATTTGTGTTTCTCATACCCCACGTGGAAAATTCCCAGTCGGGCAGTCTCTGTCAGTACAGGTGACAATAATCCGCACATCACTCGAGCTGGGTGAACGGTTTTGGGAAATTGTTGTTCCTTCTTTGGAAAGACCCACGCACTGCCTGGCAGCAGGGGTTGGAGGGTGCTCGGGGAGTTGGGGCAGACAGTCCATCCTCAAAGCCTCACTTTCTTTGTTGCAAACGAGTAGTAACCCAACAACTCAAGGATTCCTTGTGAGGACAGGGCCTTGTACTGGGTAAAGCGCTGTGCATGTAAGTCATCAGCATTGTTACGGTTTCATAAAACTCTTTTTACTAATAGTGAAACCTCGTTGCCGATTCCGCCCGTTTTGTGTGGGCCAGGATAGAGTGGTGATGTTATGTCTTGGTAATAGGCTTTGGAGCGTTATTTCCTACTGAAAAACAAAAACAAAAATAAATTCAGCTCTGCGTCTGCTGTGCTGCAGAAACGTCAGTCACAAATGTAGGGTTCTAGATAAATGAAGCATTATTTGGGGGATATATGCATACAAAAATGGAGTATATTACCTTAATAAACTCATGAAGTTAAAAATAAGCCAGCCCTTGCAAAACTGTGCCCAGGGCTTCGGTGTCCTCATCGTCACATATGTGTGCAGCAGTCAGCACGAGTTACAGCTCTCACTCAGAGACTGAACGTTGCCAAGTTAGATGGCCTCTTTGTAAGACACTCCCCAGCGTTAGAGTGAATTTATATTGTATCTTACCAAGAATTATGCAAATAGAATTTCTAAAATAAGGTTATGAAGTCTGATGCTTAGCTATTTTTGAAATAATGGTTTTGTAAAAGTCTCTGATAGTTTTTTTTTTTCACTCTAATAACCTGAAAATGTCTAAACTAATGTTTTTCAAATCTCCTATGAAAACATTCACTTCTGAATGAATGTGAAAACAGGTTGCTCTTATGAAAGCTGTCGTGCATCGCGGTCTAAGACGTGAATTGTATTCAGGGGTGTTCGTGCAGGATTAGGTGGCCCATGTGAACATAGGCTCATGTGTGCATATATATGAGTATACACGGTGTTGGATAGCTGTATGCATGCCTAGCTAAGTTACTTAATTTGTCCATTTATAGGGACTCTGAATACCACTAAATCAACTGTTATTTAGGTAGTTTCTAAAAAATAGTGCAGTTTATATAAGATACTATTTATATGCTTATAAACTATGCTGTTTATCTCATGGCTGACTGAGTGTTGGAATGAAGCTATGGTATTTTCTTGCAAAGAAGCAGCCCAGCAAGTTGTGGCCTGCCATTCTCTCTGGATGCCCTCATTGTCCCTGCCCTGCCCATGGCCGAGGGGAAGCCTGGGGAAGTAAACCAAGATGCTCACCAGGGACCTCCTCTGCTTCTATATTCCTTTACTCCCAAACCGAGGGGTCTGCAAAGCCCAGCAGCCTTCAGCTCGGTGTGGCTGTAGGGTAGATGGTGTTTATAGGAAGACACTAGGCAAGAAGAACTCAGGCTAAAGAGATATGACATTGTCTACCTGAGCCATAGATTTTGAAGGAAGTCTGTCCTTGAGGCATTAATGTGCCGGGTGATCATTAAGAAGTGATTCTTTCTGCTGGGCACGGTGGCTCACGCCTGTAATCCCAGCACTTTGGGAGGCCAAGGCGGGGGATCATCTGAGGTCAGGAGTTCAAGACCAGCCTGGCCAACATGGTGAAACCCCATCTCTACTAAAAAAAAAAAAAAAAAAAAAACACACACACACAAAAAATTAGCCGGCCGTGGTGGTGTGTGCCTGTAATCCCAGGTACTCGGGAGGCTGAGGCAGGAGAATCGCTTGAACCCAGGAGGAGGAGGTTGCAGTGAACCGAGATCATGCCATTGTACTCCAGCCTGGGCAATGAGAGTGAAACTCCATCTCAAAAAAAAAAAAAAAAAAGAAGAAGAAAAAAGAGAAATGATTCTTTCATCTAGCAGGTGTTACTGCTAAGTGCCTCAGGATGGTTTGCTCATTCATTCATTCATTTAACAATATTCATTGAGCACTTCCATGTAGCAGTTCCATGCTGGTGACATGTTATCTGTCCTCATGGAGTTAGTCTTCCAGTTTTACCTACTTAGCAAGAAAGAGGCTTTCTCTAGGCCAAGCCTTACTTTAGTTTAAAAATCAAATAAACATTAACTGCAGGACAATAAGAGACTTCAAATCTGACCAGCCAACTTCCTTTACTCACCCTTCTTGCTTCACTTAGAGCTCTGTCATTTAGCATCGGAATATTCTCTGATTTCAGCCCTTTGATTATGAGATTTCCTTGCTTGCCTTTCTCTCATATGTCAGAGCAGATCTGTCTCTCTGTCCTCACTGTCCTTTCTGACAAGTGGACAGACAAGGTTTTGCACACAAGTGGATGACAGCTTCAAAGAGCAGGAGGTGGGAGGCCCGGGCGAATGGATCACCCGAGGTCGGTGGTGGGTGCCTGTAATCCCAGCTGCCCAGGAGGCTGAGGCAGGAGAATCACTTGAACCCGTGAGATGGAGGTTGTAGTGAGCTGAGGTTGCACTATTGCACTCTAGCCTGGGCAACAAGAGCGAAACTCCGTCTCAAAAAAAAAAAAAAAAAAAAAAAAAGAGCAGAAAGTTCTCTGACACCTTCAGGGAGAAAGGGCTGACTGCAGTGAGGTCCGGTCTTGACGCCCTGCCTCTCTGGGGTGGGTCCAGCTGTCAAGTTCCTCTGCTTTTGAGGATAATAATATCATTAAGCAGCAAGCTGGCACAATTTTTGAACAGAGATTTCTCACAGGAACTTTGCATGCATTTCACATTCCATTTGCTTCAGTAATGTGAAACTTATTTTTCTAAAAAAAGGTACAGGCAGATCTTGGCGTGACTCACTAGAGAACAATAGTTAAGTCATAATTTATTTTCATCTTTTTCCCCAGGAAAGGGAAAAATTGATTAAATGTATGGGGAATGTACCCAGGCGTGAATCTGTAAAGGAGAAATGGATCAAAGAATCACACAAACATGTATACGTGTAAAACACATAGGTTTTGTGAACAAAAGGCATAACCTCTCCCACAGTATGTTGCGGGAGGTCTTGACACATCCTGAAGGGAGAGATTGGTGTTGCTGGGGAAGTGGAATGAAAGCTGAAAGCTGAAGGATGAGTAGGAGTAAGACCAAAGTGGAATGTGAAGGCAGGGAACATCAAGTTCAAGCAGAGGGAACAACATCTGCAAAGGCCACGAGCTGGAAGGAAACGGAGTGCCATTGGTGGAGGGAGAGCAGGGCTGAGGCACGCATTCTGCCAGTGTGCACAGGGCTTGGGTTGGAGTCCAGCCCACCTCCACCTCTTGTGGACGTTTGTATCTATCCACGTTTGTGTTTTCCCCTATTCCTGCCTGCATCTCCAGTCTTCTCCACGAGATTGCATCCCTCTTCTTGTAACAGTTGTTTCAGTGTGAGTTTGCTGGAAACAAATTGTATCAACTTTTCTTTTCTAAAAATGTCTTTATTTCATCCTTTTTCAGCAGCTTTGATGACGTATCCTTTACATATCATAAAGTTCACCCGTTTAAAGTGTTTAATCAAGCCAGGCACGGTGGTTCATGCCTGTAATCCTAGCACTTTGGGAGGCCAAGGCAGGTGGATCACCTGAGGTCAGGAGTTCAAAACCAGCTTGGCCAGCATGGCGAAACTCTGTCTCTACTAAAAATGCAAAAATTAGCCAGGCATGGTGGTGAGTGCCTGTAGTCCCAGCTACTCCGGACGCTAGGGCAGGAGAATTGCTTGAACCTAGGAGGCAGAGGTTGCAGTGAGCCGAGATCGTGCCACTGCACTCCAACCTGGGTGATGGAGTGAGACTCCGTCTCAAAAAAAAAAAAAAGAAAGTGTACAATCAATGGTTTTTTGTTAAAGAGTTGTGCATCAAGGAACACAATCTAATTTTAGAACATTTCCATCTCCCCAGAAAGAAACCT